TTATTGATCTTATTTTCTTAGTTACTAAAAATAATATATTCAATTATAAAAAAAAAAACATATAATTCGATTAGAGATCTTTAAAAGAAAAAATGCTTGAAACTAAGAACATTTTCTAAGAAGTAATTATTTAAAATTAAAAATGTCTCGACAAATAATTTTCAATTATTAAATAAATATACATCCGCTTTTATAATAAATATTTTCTTCGTTTTATATAAAAAAAAATAAATTCTATATATAGGATTATTATTGTTACTTGGCATTGAGAGAAATATAAAGTAAAATCGAAATATAAATCTCTAGAGAGTTTTATTTCACTCGAATATTCAACTAATTAATCTTAAATTATTATAATTAATTTTTTTTTATTAATAAAGTATCTCCAATATAACATACTTTACTCTGTTTACATTGTACAAATTCTTGAGATATAAATTTAGCCATTGAATAATATTTCTAGAAAACAAAAATTAAAAAAATTAAATATTCAATAAAAATTAAAAAAAAAACCTTTAAATTAATTCCACCAGCTGTTGTATAATCTTTACTATGTGTTTTTATATAATAAACATCTTGTAAAATAATACTTGTAAATGGTATAACAATTTTATCTGTTTTCCATTCATTTTTTTCTGCTTCATCCATAGCTACTTTAAGTATAAGACGATATGTAGCAAAATTTTTTGATACATTCATATATTGTTCAAGTTGTTGAAATTTTTCTAATTGAACTTTTGCCCACTGCAAAAATTATTCAAAGAATTATATATTACAATATAAAATAAAAAAATTATTTATTTACAGTTCTTTTTAATCGTCTTACAGGTTGCATATTTAAACCACCTAAACAAAGATTAATAAATTATTGAATATATATTATTCTTTAATAGGCTTTTATTATTGAAATACAATGAAGAATAATTTCTTTATATAAAAACAAGTATTGTTTCGTAGAAAGAAAATATATATTTGATTATATTTAAATATAAGATTGACAAAATTATGTGATAAAATGAAACTTTCTTTGACTATTGATCTATAAGAAAATCTTGACAGAACTTGAAAAAAATTTTGTCGAGAGGCAAAAATATTATTTTTTTCTCAAAACAAATCTGTTTCCTGTAGGCATCAAATAAGTACTATGAATATGTCGTACTTAAGAATGATCTTTCAACTACAATATAGTTTAAGAAGCCAAAGTTTAGATTAATCTACTAAAAAAGTAGCAAAGTTATAATAGAGGGTCATTTTACTCTGATAAATTTTGTAATATATCTTAAGCGAATTCTATTTGAGTGAAATTTATGATCATACAAAAAAAAAAAGATAATGAAAATTTATTTTCCAAAATTAATACTCAATGCTTGTGTGTGTGTTAATTATTATTTTTTTGTTACTGGAGTCTAGAATATTTTTAGCCTTTTCTTTTTTTTTTTCTAATGATTAATAATACTCTTGAGATCAAATCTAATAAAAAATACTTTTGACATAGTATTAATATTTGTATTATTTAAGTCACGTATTCAGTTCAATGAATAAATGTATAATCTTGCCCATATTTTATTATAATAAGCTATATTTATAAATATTGTCACATATTACGAGACAATTATTATATGAATATTAAAATAAAGACAAAGATAAAAATATTATGACAAGTAATATTTCATATATATAAATTAAAATTTTCTTACCAAGTATTCCAATCATAGAATTATAATTTCGTATTTGAAAACATTCATATGCAGCATCAATAAAATAATTAATTAATCGTACACGTAAACGTCGTTTTGTATGTTTAACAATTTCTGTTGTTATAAAAAATGTTAATCGATTAAACCATTGTATATAAGCTTCAAGACAAAATGTTAATTTTGTATCATGTACTAAATTTTTTGTTTTATTATTAGAATCAGATATTGATGATTCTTTTGAATAAATTTTATTTGGATGTGCTCGAGCTTCTTCAGAAGCTAATTTCATTATAAAATATTGTATTAATTCTTCAGCACCAACTGGTTTTAATCTATCCTACGAAAAAAAAATCAATAAATTAAAATAAGATTAAATTATTCAAAATAATACCAGTTCAATATGAGTTAATTGTTGAGCAAATAATATTGGTGTTGAACATTCATTTATAATGTCCGTCTAAGAAAAAACAAAAAAAAAAAATTTTTTGTATTGTTTTTATTTTCAATAAAATAATTAATTTACAACTAATGCTGATTGATTTAAATAAACCAGTGTTTTTTTATTTAATTGTCGAATATATTCTTCATAATTATCTAATGCTTTAAGCTAAATAAATAAATAAAAAATATTATTTTCTTTTAAATTTATTTTCTTTACTTTTGAACGAAGTTTTTTATAAATATGTTGTACATCTGATTGAAGACTTGATTCAAAAATAGTTATTTTTTTAAAAAGATCTTCAATTTGTGACATCATTTCACTATTACGAAAATCATATGGAAATGTTCGTGTCCATTGTGATAATACATAAAGAAAATTATTTAATGTTCGAACACTTTGATCCTTTCAATAACAAATATAAATTAATATTTCAAAAAAAACAAATTTTTCTTTTTTTTTTTTTAAATCATACCATTGTTAAATTTGCTATTGATTTTATTGTTAAACGTGCTAATTGATTAAATAATAAACTTGGTCGAATATTCATTCGTGAACATAATAACATTGGATAAATAAATGATTGCTAGAACAAAAACCGATAAAGAAAAACAAAAAAATTTTTTTTTTTTCTTTAATGCCTTTGGAATATAAGTATCAGTAGGTACTAATCGTCGAATAAGTGAATCCATTGAATAATATAAATAATCAAGTGGTGGATCATCATCACTTGTTACTTGATTCGATGATGAATAATCAAATGTTGGTATTGGAGTAAATGTTGATGGAGTAGATATTGGAGGCTTGAAAAAACAAAAATTTATATAGATTAGATATTTATTGTACATTCAAATTATTAAATTAAATAACATGAACATTGTTGCAAAATGTTCTATAAGTAATAATCAGTAGGATCAATAGTTTTTAGTTTCGATCATCAAGTTGGTTATTGTTTCGCGTTTAGTAATACACATACACGAGTGAAAAATTTTAATTTCATTTTCTAATAGTATCAATACGCTCGAGACATGCTGAAGAACTCACTTTACTTCGAAATGTTCTTTTTCTTCAAGGTTAACTATTGTTTTTGAAATTCACTAATATTTTGTCTCGATTCTGCAAGTTTTATATGTTCGACACTTCTGTTGTTTACAAAAAAAAAAGAAATTCATTTTATAATCAAAATTCTAAGAGCAAATATCGAAATGATCATTACTCGATAATTTTCATATAAATTTTGAGAATATGATATTTGAAGCATATTCGATATAACCAAAAAAAGGATATGACTTTCAGTGAAAAAGTATTGGTTCAGTTTCTAATCTCAACGAGATTGAGGACACTAGAAGTACAACAAATCTTGAATGGATTTGGTTTCAATCGAACGTGATTCTAACATTGTAGTCGTATTACATTGAAATCAAATCTCAACCTTCAAATCGAAACTATTTCATATCAATTTATAATACTTAGGATTTGTGAGTTTATCTTGTAAAGCCTCAATATATTTAGGTAATTTAAGATTAAATTCAATTTCAAGATTTTGGATTCCTCTAAGAGTCGTTTTGCTCATATCTATCTATAAGATTTAAAAATGTTTCTCTTAATTAAACATAAATACGGAAATTTATATTTTTAAAACTGATGTCTTAAAAATCGAATAAATAACTCGATTCTGTAAAAGATTGATTTTGAGGACAATCGATTTTTCTTTGTAGTTTGATCGTAAAATAGTTCTATTCTGTATCAACATAAATGATGATATATTTATGACTATAATATTCGATTTATATATGCGCAAAATCATTTCTTAGCGACATGACATCTCAAAATTAAAACACGTATGTCCTGAGATAATGAACTTTCCTCAAGTTAATTTTAATATGTTAAATTACTCGAGATATTGTGAAAAAGTCAGTACTAGAAATCTTTGTTTGATGGAATAATCAATAAAAAAAAAAAACTTTTTACTTTGCATACAAATGAAAAAAAATGCTCTTTTAAAACCGAATGAAAAGTACACAATCATCAAGATAATTAATTTTATCAGTAGATCTTTCTTTTGAATTTAATCTAATAAATTACCTGAAATACAGTTGATTGTTCATTTGTTTTAGCTGCTGGTATAACTAAAAAGGTTGATTCTGTTTGACCATTTATTATGGCAGGTGTTGGTTGTCTAGATTGATTTGTTGATGATTCATTATTATAATCATATGAATTAGTTGTATTTGTTGATGTAGAATTTTGATGTTGATAAATTGGAACATTTGTTCGAACTTGAGCATGAATTCGATCATAATATTCTTTTGAAGATAAGTCACGATTTTCAAAATTATATACATTTAAATTAGTTGGTACTTGTTGTTGTATATTATTATTATTATTATTATGTTGAACAAAACCATTTTCTAGTATTGATACTGGTTTAAATGTTCGTTCAGAATTAATATTATTATTTTTTGATGATAAATATGATTGATGAATATGAATATTTGGTGTAAATGTAGAAGGATATTGATCATTATAAGATATTTGATTTGAACTATTACCAGTATAATAGCCGGTTGATAGATCATGACTATATGTTGTACCATTCATGATAAGCTATGAAAAAAAAACAGAAAGAAACAAATATAGTTAATTAATTAATTTTTTTTTTTTTGGTTTTTCATTTTGTAAAAACAAAACAATTATTTTCTATTGACACAAACAGAAAAACAAATTGATTTCATTCATTCAAAAACACAAATTATTCTGCGTTATTATCATATGAAATATATATATATACACACAAAAAAAAAACAAAAAAAAATTACGATATTTAATTAAATGGACGGATATAAAAGAAAAAGAAATTGATATCAATGATGTTTTGAGCGTTTTTCACTGACATTGGATGATTTCATATCTTGACTTGCTCCATTAATACTTGCAGTAGCACTTGTTTCTTCTGACCTATCTGAAGATATATCTTCAACAATATGTTGTTGTTGATCAATAGTTGAACGATATGAATATTTTTTAATGATTGCATCATTACCATTAAGTAATGGTGCAAGTTTTTTTTTATAGAGATGTGTTTTAGGTGATGATAATTGTTTAACATTATTAGTAACATCTTCTAATGTTTTATTTGATATTGAAGATAATTCATCTGTATAAGATGATGTTGATTTAGCACTATTAATTGGTTTTAAACGACCACTTGGTGGTCGCATAACATTTGATGATGATGATGATGATGGTAAACAATTAGTAAAATATGTATCTGATTGTTGTTTAATTCGAAATACTTTTTGACCAGCAACAGTTAAATCAAGTGTTGGTATTGATTCTGTTGAACTTGATTTAGAACTTGATTTAAGTCTATTTGATATTGATAAATTTCCATTATTAGAATTAATATGATTTGATGGTGAATGTGAAAAATCTTTATTAACTGTTGTTTTACGAATTTTTTGTTTTGATTTATTTCTTGATGATAATTGTTGTTGATCATCAAGAAAACGATAATCATCATACATTGAATTTTTATTTGTTTGTTGTTGAAAACGTTCATCATTATGACGTAATAAAAGACGTGAATTAGATTTTTCATATTCTAATAAATAATCATCATTATCATCACTACCATGACCTGCAAGACTATTTGCATCACTTTGATCATCATCTTCTGAATGTGTTGAATTTATAATAATATGATTATGATGTTTTTGAATATTAGATAAATTATTTAATTTTATTGAACTTTTTCGTGGTTTAATAGGTGGTGGATTTGTTGTTATTGTTGATGATGATAATGATCGATTAAAATCTTTTTCATTATTATTATTATCTTGTTGATTTGAATAATTTATTGTACGTGAATATTTTTCTATAGATAAATTTGGTGACGAATGAGTTTCTATTGGTAATGATTCATTTAAATGACGACGACTATTACGACGAATATATGTTGCATGACCATTACCAGGTGGTATAGGTGTTACATCATAACCATTTATTTTTATTCTACTATTATTATTGAAACTAAGAGTTGTTGATGGTCGACTATTAATATTATTATTATTATTATTTGTTTTTTCACGCAAATAAACTTCAAAAACACTTCGACAAAAATAAAGACCACGATTTTGTGCATAATCTAAAGATGATATACCATGAATATCTAAACAAATATATATTTATTTTAGTAAAATGAAAAAATAAAAAATTATTGTTGTTGTTTTATAATACCTTTAAGATGTGGATCAGCACCATGATCTAATAATTCTTTTAATACACGTGCATGACCATGTTTTGTTGCTAAATGAAGTGGTGTTTGACGATATTTATCACCATCATGTATATATGAATAATTATTTGTTTGTTCAATCATTTGAAATATAAGACGACAAGCATGAACAGAACCTTGTTCAGCAGCAACATGTAAACAAGTTCGTCCATCATTATCACGTAATAATATTGATTCGGATGATAATAAATATTTTAAACATTCTAATGGTTCTGTTTTTCTTGCACTATGATGTATCCATGTTCGACCATCATTATCTTTTTCTATTATATTATTCATATAATTAGATAATTCCTTTTGTTTTTTTAATATTATAAAAAGAAAACAAAAAAAACACCAAGAATTATTTTTTTTTTCGAAAAGACAAAAGAATGTCTTACTTTAAAATGTTCATAACGGTCAAGATGACACGCCCACATAGCTGGTGTCATACCATCAATATCTTTCATATGTATATCAGCATTATATTCAATTAATAATTTTAAACAATCAATATTTTCTGCTAAAACTGCCCAATGTAATGGTGAACGTAAATGTACATCTTGTTTTTTAACATCAGCATTATTTTCTAATAAAATTTTTATTATTTCAATATTTATATATTGTCCATTATCTGTATAACAAGCACGATGTAAACATGTTGAACCATCATTAGCTTGTATATTTATATTTATTATTGATTTATATTCATCTAATAAATAATTTAATATATTTATTTGTTGATATTGTACAGAATATGTTAATAAATCTCTTCCAAATGAATCAACACATTCAATTAAATCTGGTTCTATATTTAATAATTCTTTAACATATCGTAAATCACCTTCACGTACAGCAATAATTATTGGTGATAAATTAATAAAATTATTTAATGAATGTTTTGGTATTATTTGTTTAACTTTATTTGATTCAACATCAATCCATGGCCATTGAAATTTATCGGGTGCTTCACGAAATGGTGTTAATGGACTTAAACCACGTTCAATTGTCCATTGTAATGGTTTTTGTTCTTTATCACGTTTTTGTAATATTAAATAATATTGTTGTAAAAAATGAAGAGCATGTAAAAGTGTATCACGTAAACGTGAACTTGCTTCTTCATCAGGTAGTTTAAGTAAAAACTCGAGTATAGTTGATGATGTCTTTTGAAAATCTTTACGTTTAATAGCCATTATGTAAATAACAATATACCTATATATAGATTTTTCTACTTTAATACACACATCTGTAATATAAATATAAAAGCTTATCGACCGAAGCGACAAATAGTAACGTGAATAAACAATAGGATTGATGATTATATTAACAAAAAAAAAGTGTCATAGAGAAAAAGAAAAAGAAAAAACCTCAATGATCTATAAAATTTTATTATCATAATTTTCATTTTTTTTTGTCGTTCTGTTACGAATTACTCTAGATGTTAAATTATACATCAAATTCTTTAATGTTATTATTAAGAATGTCGAGTAACATTGTATTTATTCTAATCAAGTATGTCTAGAAGAGTTTAAGATACATTAGATATAGACAATAAGAAGATAAAAAGAAAAAAAAAAAATGAAACATACATCTATACGAACGATCGATGAACTTTCAAAGTTAATCAACGAACCGGTGATATGAGGTGGAGCATGTACACATATGCAATCATCGTTGGCATGTGAGTAGAACTGATTGTATTCATAAAAGACAAGCTATATTTTTATTTGATAAATTCATATTCTTTTTACCTGACGTCATTTTTGTTCAATCCCTCGAGAGACAGAGAGAGAGCGGGAGAAAACAACGAAGTTGAAATATGAAACTTTTTCTTCTTTCTCTTACTCTTTTTTTTTCACGCACATATATATGTATATACACACAATTACTTGAGTGTCGTTATGATGTAGGAGAGGCTACCTCTTCGTCACTTACTTCTTTAATGTTGAATGAAAATGTAGAGAGACAAAAAGAAAAAAAAAAGAAAAAGACAAGAGAACAATATTCAAAAAAAAAAATACCAACCGAAATTTCTCGTTCAATAAAGAGAATTTTCAAAAAAGAAAAAAAGGCAAGATAATTTTATTTAATCGAATTATACATGACACACACACACACATACAAAGAAAAAGCTAACAACTAATAGATTATATATATAAATAAATAAATTAAAAAAAAAAAAATATATATATTATGTTTTATAAATATGTTTCTTTTGCACATGTTATCATTGTTGAAAATAATTTCATAAATGCTGTATCTTTTGGTCTTTGAAGTCCACGTTCTAAACGATTTTTCATTAATTGTATAAATTCAACATATGATAATAATTGATCTTCATTTTCATCAAATAATGTAAATACAACATCAATTAAATGTGAATCAAGTTCAATATGATTAACAATTTTAGCAACATGTGCAAATATTTGTTTATCTATTGCACCACCAGCTATATGATAAAATGTTAATGCTACATCAATATCATGAATATTACGAAGAAAATTATGAAAATTTTCATAATCTTTAAATGATATTCCTATTGATTTTGTTTCATCATCAATTGGATAAGATTTTTTAACACGTTTTAACATTTTTTTAAAATGTTTATCTGATAAACCTGAATATGCAAGTAAGGACATTGCAAAATCTAATTCAGTCATACGTGTTTTATCATTAGGACATTTTGTTGCACGATGAAATTCTAATTGTAATATTTCATATTGTAATTGTTCATAAAATTGTAAAAATTTTTCAATTGTTAATAATTGATCAAGATTTTCACCAAAAAAATATTGATTAACAGTTGATGTTTCTCGTAATATATTACCTGTTGTTGAATGATCACGATGTTTTTGTCCAATAGTTGTTTGTTCACGTATTAAATTTTTTAATTTAGTAAATTCATCAAAATCAAAATTTCCATTACCATCTAAATCAAACATTTGAAATGCTATTTGAAAACAACGTTTTGGTGTTGATAATAATGTAACAAGAAATATATAATCACTAAATGTAATTAAACATTGTTTACCACCAATACGTTCAAATATTGATGTTTGATCAGAATTTAATTCCGAATAATATAAATGTGTATTTAAATGTTCAAGTTTTTCCCATGGATCAACACGAAAATCATAACGTTGAAATTTATCAAGTTCTAAACCATCGGGTTGTTTCAAACCTGTAGAACAAAAAAACAAAAAAAAATTTTATTAAGATAAAATTTTTTTTTTGAAATATACCAGGTGTAATCGATCGAAGAAAATCATCTGGTGTCATACAAATAGTACCTTTAAATAGAATATTTTGTATATATATATGTATTTTTTTTAATGTAGATTTATAAAATTTACCATCAGGATTTTCATCGCTATAAACTTTTAATGTAGCAAAATATCGAAATATTTTATCGGGTGTTGAATAAGCTCGTATACGATTTTCATAAGCAATTTTTTTCTTATCACGAAATGAGATTTTTGTTTTTGTTTCTTTTGTTTCTGATTTTCGAGTTTTAGAAGTTTCCTAAAAAAAAAACAGAGTAAAAATCAAATCAAATCTCTTTTTCTTTTGTCATATCGTGATCAAGATAAAATATATTTTAATTATTTTCTCTTTGAAAAAAAAAAAGAATAAATTATTTATAATATTCATTTATTTTAATTGAAGTATTATCACGGAAATTATGCATAAAACATAACTGTCTAGTTGGACTAATCAATCGCAGGCATTCTTTTTAAAATTATGTAATAATAAAATGGTATGTTTCCCGTAAGGTGAATGTGATGAACGGAAGTTCTTAGTTATTATATAATGATTCTTTTCTTTTGTATTTAGAAAAGGAAATCAGAATAAAGTTTCATATATATATATAAATGTATGATGAATTGATCAAGTGAAGATAATCACATAAGAAGAGAAAATAAGCATTGTAAAGAATGAATATATTATCATTTTATAATCTAAGAATATGAAAATTAATGATGCTTGATTAGAATTAAACAAGCTATATTGATCTTGAATCATTATAATGTAATATGTCATAGTAGATGGCAAACCATAGACAACTTACGAAGGAAGTATCTGATGTGTACACATTACTTTTCATAAGAAAAAAAGAAAGAGATTAGTAAGGAGTTATAACTAGAGGCGTAAGCCGAAGGGGTCAAACGGCGGCAGCGGTTTTAATGGTCAAATGTTTTTTCCATAGCGGTGGCGCCTACTAGACTTTATGTTTTCCTACACCGGAGGCTTTAATTATGAAAATTTTTTTCCATAGCGGCGGCTGCTGCTATACTTAATGTTTTTCTGCACCGACGGCGGCTTTGACAACCAAAAAAAATCAGAAGTTTTTGCTCCACAAAGACGAGAAAATGATCGATCGTATATGTATCGGTGGCGGCACATCATACTATTATCAAAAATTTTCGTTCGTGGCGGCGGCGACGCAGTTGTACGGTTTACACCTGTAGTTACTGAAAACTAAGTATTCCGAAAAAAAAGAGTTCTTAATCTGAAACTTTGCGCCTATGAGCATGTCTGTCTCTTGAGAAAGGCATATTCGTTTTCATTGAAATTTTAACGACTATCGAATGACTACTAAATCTACGGATAGGCAAAATTTTAGATGAAAATGCTTTATTTTTGTTCTTATATCTGATGAGTGAAAACGGAGGTGTAAAAAAAAAACATAATAAAAGAAAAAAAAGAAATAATATTATGAAATAGTTTTATTATAGAATTGAAAAGTTGAAAGTTTTACTTATCAAATTTCAAATACTAAATTAACTATTTCCTACAATAAAAAACTCAAACTAGAAACCTCAGATAAATCTTTTTTGATTTTTTCTTCATTTGAATTATTATGATTTGTTTCAACTGCTGGTAAAATAGTTGCTGCTTTAACATTTGAAAATATATCTAAACGTTGTTGAGTTTCCATTGGATTAACATATGTATTCATTTCAGTCACTTGATTTGTATTAACCGGTTTTGTCCAACGATCTTCAAATTCTGTAACATTTCTACAAAAGAAAAACAAAAAAAAACATCGATAAAGATTTCCAATTCTTTGTATTAGAACTAAGTAAGAGATGATCGTTATAAGTTAGTCTTCCGATCGCTTTTCAAACTGTGATAGACGATCTAATTAGTTTTTTGTTACAATCATAGAAATGTATAGATGACCAACTGTTACTGAAATATGATCTAATCTTTCTCAGAATTCAATACCAATAGAAACAAAATAAAGTATTTAATAATTGCAAAAGAATTCTTCTCATCGCTTTTCAGCAGTGTCCGGTCACCAAAAAATTGACCCACATCGGACACTGATTCCCACTTTTATACAAAAAAAAAACCGCGCAGCCTAACTGCGGAAAAAAATCAAATTAACAACACAAGGCAATTTAGACAAATCGGTAATTTACAAATCAATACTACATAGAAATCAGAGATGTCCATCGCGGCTCAAAATCTGCCGCTGCTGTGTCGCGGCCAAAATCAAACAAAGCTGCCGCGCCGCTCCCGCGACGCGATGGCCTGCTAAAAGAAGCTACCGCGACGCGCCTTAAAAAAAACTTGCCGCTACCGCGCCGCTGCCGCGCTGGTATTCGAAAAAATGTTTTAATTTTCAAGACTTTGACTGGTTTGAAATAGAACTGATGCCGCTAATCGATCAGATTCGCTAAGTGTTACAGTATAGCATACATAAACATGCAGATTCTGTGCAAATTCATGAATTTTTGAAATTTTTTCCTAAAAAGCTGCCGCCGCCGCCGCGCCGCTGCCGCGACCGCAAAATGAAAATCTCTCCCGCGCCGCGATAGTTTTTCGAAAAAATCTGCCGCTGCCGCGCCGCCACGGCGGCAGCGGCAGCGCCGCGATGGACATCTCTGATAGAAATAACTTCTTTCAAGTGTATTACTTTCATCATTAACATTTCAATAAGCTACTTCTAAACTTCACTCAACACTAATTTCACTGCATTAATTCTAGAATTTCGCCTTTGGTCAATGTCCTATTAGTAAAATTCGAGGATAAAAAATAAAGAAAAACTCTTAATTAATAATAATAAAATTACTAACGTTAAATAGAAAATAGCATAAGCTCCAATAATAATAAAAAAAAATTGCATATAATGTACAACATGATGTCCTGGTGGTCTAACATGTCTTCTATGTCCATAATTATTATA